GTTACTGTAACCTGTACCTCGTGTAGTTACTGTAACCTGTACCTCGTGTACTTACTGTAACCTGTACCTCGTGTAGTTACTGTAACCTGTACCTCGTGTAGTTACTGTAACCTGTACCTCGTGTAGTTACTGTAACCTGTACCTCGTGTAGTTACTGTAACCTGTACCTGTGTAGTTACTGTAACCTGTACCTCGTGTAGTTACTGTAACCTGTACCTCGTGTAGTTACTGTAACCTGTACCTCGTGTAGTTACTGTAACCTGTACCTCGTGTAGTTACTGTAACCTGTACCTCGTGTAGTTACTGTAACCTGTACCTCGTGTAGTTACTGTAACCTGTACCTCGTGTACTTACTGTAACCTGTACCTCGTGTAGTTACTGTAACCTGTACCTCGTGTAGTTACTGTAACCTGTACCTCGTGTAGTTACTGTAACCTGTACCTCGTGTAGTTACTGTAACCTGTACCTCGTGTAGTTACTGTAACCTGTACCTCGTGTACTGTAACCTGTACCTCGTGTAGTTACTGTAACCTGTACCTCGTGTAGTTACTGTAACTGTAACCTGTACCTCGTGTAGTACCTCGTGTAGTTACTGTAACCTGTACCTGTGTAGTTACTGTAACCTGTACCTCGTGTAGTTACTGTAACCTGTACCTCGTGTAGTTACTGTAACCTGTACCTCGTGTAGTTAATCTTGTATTTTTCTGGCCGTAATTATTACTTATTTCAATCTTGTTATACTTTAATTGCTATTTAACATCCGGATGAGCCTAGTGGATGAATTAACAGTGTATTATAATTATCAAACATGACAGATAATATTAACAATAATCTTCACCTTGTAGGGATTATCACAACGAATAACAATAATCTTTTCTGGTCAGTGAATATTTCGTTGAGTCCGCCATAGTGCTTGCCTCCGCTCTGGTTAACATTCCTCTCAATAGATGGCGCGTGTGGTCCCTTTTCTCTCTCTCTCTCTCTCTCTCTCTCTCCACTGCACTTGCTTCCCTCGGCTCTAAGATCACTACACTATATCCAGCTGGCAAAATATATTAAAAAATGACTTTACGTTAAAATATCACTCCAGTACCAATTATGATAATACCATTTTCTTAGTTTCAAAGAAGTTATAGATGCTCACAATAAGTCACTGAATGAAATGACGTTAATACTCATTAATTTATGCCGGAGTTGTGTTGGATAGTGAGCGGTGATGTGTGTGTGTGTGTGCTCCTTTCTCGCCCTCACGCTTCTTTCACACACACCTCTCACGCACTGCTCTATCCTCTCACACTCATTCTCCTTTCACCCCCTCGCACCTGTACTCTCCCTCCTGCCTTCACCATTACTGAGTAACCTCCACCCTATGGAGGTCTTTGGTACACCCTGAGAGCCCATCATAAAGACAAACTGACCAACACACTGACCCACAAACTAAATTGCCCGAACTACTAATACTGAGATATTTTTGTACGAGGTGTGAGTTGTGCTGCTAAGCTGGGGGAGCAACCCCCCTCTCTGGGGGAGGGACACCCCCTCGCTGGGGGAACACCCCCCTCTCTGGGGGAGGAACACCCCCTCACTGGGGAACGCCCTTCACTGGGGGGAGTTACGCCCCTCACTGGGGGGAGGAACACCCCACTGGGAACGCCCTTCACTGGGGAGGAACGCCCCTCACTGGGGGGAACACCCCTCGCTGAACACTCTCCCTGACACCCCCTCACTGGGGGGAGGAACGCCCCTCACTGGGGGGAGGAACACCCCTCATTGGAGGGAGGAACACCCCTCACTGGGGGGAGGAACACCCCCTCGCTGAGGGAACACCCCCTCTCTGGGGAACGCCCCTCACTGGGAGGAGAAACACCCCTCACTGGGTGGAGGAACACCCCTCACTGGGGGAAGGAACACCCCCTCGCTGAGGGAACACTCTCCCTGAGGGGAAAGGAACACCCCTCACACCCCTCACTGGGGGAGGAACACTCCCTCACTCACTGGGGAGGAGGGAACACTCTCACTGGGGGTAGGAACACTCCTCACTGGGGGTAGGAACACCCCTCACTGGGGGAGGAACACCCCTCACTGGGGGTAGGAACACTCCTCACTGGGGGTAGGAGCACTCCTCACTGGGGAGGAACACCCCTCACTGGGGGGTAGGAACACTCCTCAATGGGGGTAGGAGCACTCCTCACTGGGGGAGGAACACCCCTCACTGGGGGAGGAACACCCCTCACTGGGGGAAGGTTTACCCCGGACTCTTCTCCCGCCAATAGGTGATGCTTGTTGTCATGTTAAGTCAGTTGTCCTCAGTGCTTGGTGAGGCGAGACCCTCTTCCTGTGCGCTGTACCATCATCATCATTTGTGTCACAGTTTTAGTATTATAATAAGTAATCTTATATTTTTAACTTCCATTTTTATAAAAGCCAACAACATGAAACTTATGGCGTGACAATAAACCCGACTCTAAACTGGTAACTATTTGTTCCACGTTAAAGAAGGTGTAGCCTCTCCTCTCCACACGTCGGGCCTAAAATATCAGCCTTGGTGTTTATATTTGACGTCAGATGTGTCATATAAGAACATGAGAATAAAGTAAACTACAGAAGGTTTATTGACTCATACTAGGCAGCACTGTTTACACCAAGCCCTTATCACTCATATATCCGCCCAACCTATATATGAAGCTTCCCAGCGTGTTCCAGTTAATGATGGTCTTTGGTAACTTGTCTATCCATAACTGTTTCTAAACCAGTGTTCACATAACTCGCGGGTAAATCTAAATGTGTTTAATTTAACACCAATGTTACATGTTCAGCGTCTTAGGCGGACCCGTTCACCTCAAGGCTCTGTCAGGAACTTGGAATAAATCTTATACAACAACACCTTAATCACCAAGTTAAGACTACACTCTACTTTTACCTACGATTATACTGTATAATAATAATAAACAATATCAACAACAACAACAACAACAACAATAACAACAACAATAATAATAATAATAATAATAATAATAAACAACAATAATAATAAATAATAATAATAATAATAATAAACAACAACAATAATAATAATAATAATAATAATAATAATAATAATAATAATAATAATAATAATAATAATGATAATAATAATAATAATAATGTTTTACTGTACCATCAATAGTATTTATGAGTACACACAAAGCGTTTCAAGAGGGAGAGTTGCATTTCTCAAAAGTGTGAAAAATTTACCGTAGGTTAATTTGTATCACACAGTAACAGTGTGTTGTGTATAAACATGGTAATTATCAAGTGTTAGTGAACTCTGCTTTAATCATCATCACTGAAGATAAGACAATATCCCGTGTATGTGAACAAGATATGGTTTAAAGGTTCAATAGGTCAGTCAGGTCGGCGCCCCCTCTTGTCAGGGTCTGTTTATTTTTCACTAATTTCCCGCGCCTCAGTGTGACAGTTGCTACGTGTGGAATTAAATAACCGGTTAAATGTCTGTAAATGTGTGTTTAAAGTCACATCATAAATATTTCGTTTTCTCTACATATTAATAACTATAATGGGTTGGAATGATTAATATTAGTGTGGACTGGAGATTGTCAGTAGCACAATGTGTAGTAATAATAGCAACAAATGCCTCACTCACCCCCGCTCTCTCGCTCATTCTTAAATGACAGATTTGTCAGCCGCTAAACGTGGGTGGGGAGATGCCACCATCCATTTTACTTTTTATTATATTTAATTATTTTAGTTATATTGTTTATGTTGGACTTAGTCTGATTATTAGTAAGTAATGTATACACCTGGTTAGACAGTGTAGATAAAGAGTGTCCGTCGGGTGTAATAAGTGCGTCATCAGTCTTGTGTTGTATTGAGTGGGTTTCCTGCCTTTTCTCGCAATTAATTCATAGGGCAGCCAACACTCCCACAACCCGCGTGTTTTTTAACTAACAAATAAATGCTTAGCCGTATTTGATCAAATAATTTCATTAGGTTTAACATATATTAACAACAAAATACCACTATTACTTTTTAATGAACAAAATTCACAATTAACGCTTATAAAAAGTTACTATGGTTTTTAAATAGCCCATAGTGTTGGCAGCCCTGGGTACACAACGGCTGGGTCGGGCTAGCCTCACACAGGGTCCCCTCAAACCTGTGGGAACTCTACCTATCAACTTCCGTTAGAGATCAATTACCATTATAATTCAATATTTTAACACACTTACTAACGTCTTTTACTTCATATATTATTACTAATATATATCACTCATACATTATATTATATCTATATACATATCTATATTATTCAACCCTACATTAACATACAATTAAGGGTAAAATCTTCTTCATTATCGTACATAAATCTGAGGATGGGACCTAGCAACTGTCACTTGCCAAGGCTTGATGTGTTGTCTGAATAATACCACACCATTTTTTGTGGTTTCCTCAAGTACTACGCAATAAGTGGTAGAAATTAATGTTTAACAAATTATAAGATGACAAAGGAATGAGCTTTATAAACGACTAAAGGAAGTTCGCATTTAAAAAGACAATCATGGGAGGAGAGGAGGGAGGGGGGGCAATGGACCCCGCTTAAATGAAGTCCAAAGTCTGTCACATCAAATAAAAGCCATCGTTCCCGATAGACTTTTAACCATATTGCTTATTATTATTTTCAGTAACATTAAATACGTAAAATGGTATTAGTTATTCTAGAACAGTTTACAGGAAAACATTCATAAGCCGAGAGCCAAATTCTGCCATATAACATCCATTTGATCACGTGATAAAAGAAACTTTCTTTAGCGTGATATTTCATCCTTCATTCACTAATATATTATAAACTTGAATAAAGTGCAGAGAAAATATCACTACGTTATATTTTTTGTCAATTGATAAGTTACAGTAAATATAGATTTATGGTTATTTAATAAAACTCGGCAGCTGAGAGCCGAGGCAGCACAAGGCCTGGTTGACGTCGTCTGCTTCAGTGTGCTCCCGGAGCTTGGTGGTGGTGGTGTACTGTGTTGTTCTCGGGATTTAACTTTGGATTATTCATTTGTCAGGTAAGTTTGAGTTCTACACACACTTATATTGATAATGTTTTGGTACCCGAGTAGTTTTTATATATAAGCCGTAGACGTAGAGGTAAGTATAACGGTAAATATGTCTGAAATATATCTCCTCTCTGTCGTGACCTCTGACAAGAAAATGGCGGACAGTCTGCACTCTGCTTCCTAGCGCAGTGCGACTTTTCATTGATTTTCTTTAATTTACGTCAAAACTCGTTTGTCTATGTTTCTAATGGCCTCAGGTTGTTAATCTTTTGGGTTTCAGGTTGTTGTTACATAAGTTATTTAGTAAATTTACAAGTAACGTTCGTAGTTAATTTTAATTATTGTAAGTTTGCTCCCTTGTTGAAAATAATGCTCATGTCCCGTATTAGTGTTTTAACTCATTTAACAGACTTAATTACCTTCTAATGAGTGTTTCGGCGCTACAGTCAGTTTGTACACACTGTAGCGATGATGTTACACAGTGTACACGTATTAAACCTCCCAAAGTTACGGAGATATTGAAGAATTCTGGGCTCAGCGGGGAGAGATGGCGTGCGGGGATGAAAGGCACATTCCTTACGGCGTGTTTACCCCTCGCTCACTAATGACGGGTCGTGAGGTGAACAGCTCATGGCAGAAGAAACTTTTACCTGTGTTTCTTGATTAATTATTTGTTGACACCAGGTGAGGCAGGTAACACGGCAAGGGAGACACCTATGGCTATCAGACATCAGCTGTTCCTACCGTTACACCTCCCCCCCCTCCCTCTTTCTCTCTTTCCCTTCGCCTCACCCCGGACTCTCACCTACCCCTCCACCCCCCCCCCTCCCTCCACCACTACACCACATGGTCCTTCCCCTCCCCGGTCGTTTCTCCCCAGCAGTCTTCCTTCCCCCTCCGTCAGCCCCGGCAGACCCTTAGCTGCTCGCCTCTCCCACCCCTTGGGCCCTCTCCCTCAACACCAAACTCCCGCTCGCTCTCCCTCTCCCCCCCCCTCACCAGCCACATGCTGCCTACCCCCCACCGCCGCTCACCACTCCTTCCCTCCCTCACCCCACACGTTCCGCCTCCCTTCTCTGTTTTACGCTCTTCCTCCCTCACCATCCCTTCTCCCCTCTCATCTCTTCCACCTCTCCCTTCTCTCTCTCACCCCTCCCTCCCTCCCTCCTCCTCTCACCCACCACCCCTCCTCACCCACCACACCCTCCTCTCACCCACCACCCCTCCTCTCACCCACCCACACCCTCTCACCCACCACCCTCCTCCTACCCACCACCCCTCCTCTCTCACCCCACCACCCCTCCTCTCACCCACCACATCCTCCTCTCACCCACCACATCCTCCTCTCACCCACCACACCTCCTCTCCCACCCACCACACCCCTCCTCTCACCCCCACCCTCCTCTCCACCCACCACACCCTCCTCTCACCCACCATACCAAACCTTTCCGCCCGCTCTATCACACATCCGTATCTTTCCGCTAGTTCAACCCCTCCCCTCTCTCGCCCTCTCATCCTCTTTTACCCCACCTCACTCTCTCCCTTCCCATCTTCAATTCATAAACTTTCCCACGACACAACCCCACTCCTTGATAACATTCCTCACGCCCACTCCTGATAACATTCCCTCCACAGCCAACCCACTCCTTGATGATAACATTCCCTCCACAGCCAACCCCACTCCTTGATAACATTCCTCCACAACCCCCTCTTGATAACATTCCTCCACAGCCAACCCCCCTCCTTGATGATAACATTCCTCCACAGCCAACCTCCTTGATAACATTCCTCCCACATCAACCCCACTCCTTGACTACATTCCCACTCCACCCATCCCTACTACTGTCACACGCCCATCCCTGCTGTCACACGCCCACAAGACATGTCATTTCCGCTTATTATTTCACATTCTTTGTAACTTTCTTAAATTCTTCTTTCTTATCTATTAAATTCCCCCACCTCCTCCTCCCATTCCCCTTCCTACCCTTCCTTTTCCTCCTTTCCTCATCCCTTCCTTGAGATAAATGTATAGTATATATCAGGTGCCAAAAACTCTGGTTTCTCAGCCATGTTAATATTGTTATTATTTTCCCTCTGTATCTGTGTTTTTCTGGCTAAATAAACTGTTACAATTCAATTCTACCTTCCCCCTCTCTCCCTTCCCCCGTTCAGACCTCAGATCCATCTCAGTAAATACGACTACAGGAACCTGCAGCATACTGGGGTAATAACTGGACCCCCATAACCTAACCTCACAGGGTAATAACTGGACCCCCATAACCTAACCTCACAGGGTAATAACTGGACCCCCATAACTAACCTCACAGGGTAATAACTGGACCCCCATAACCTAACCTCACAGGGGTAATAACTGGACATAACCTAACCTCACAGGGTAATAACTGGACCCCATAACCCTAACCTCACAGGGTAATAATGGACCCCCATAACCCTAACCTCACAGGGGTAATAACTGGACCCCATAACCTAACCTCACAGGGTAACATGGACCCCATAACCTAACCTCACAGGGTAATAACTGGACCCTCCCTAACCTCACAGGGATGTCATGGACCTAACCTCACAGGGTAATAACTGGACCCCCATAACCTAACCTCACAGGGTAATAACTGGACCCCCATAACCTAACCTCACAGGGGTAACTGGACCCATAACCCTAACCTCACAGGGTAATAACTGGACCCCATAACCTAACCTCACAGGGTAATAACTGGACCCCCATAACCCAACCTCACAGGGTAATAACTGGACCATAACCCTAACCTCACAGGGGTATATGGACCCCCATAACCTAACCTCACAGGGTAATAACTGGACCCCCATAACCTAACCTCAGGGTAATAACTGCACCCCATCCTCCTCACAGGAATAACTGGACCCCCATAACCCTAACCTCACAGGGGTAATAACTGGACCCCCATAACTAACCTCACAGGGCATTTCAGTTGTAACCCTAACCTCACAGGGTAATAACTGGACCCCATAACCTAACCTCACAGGGTAATAACTGGACCCCATAACCTCACAGGTGTATGGACCCCCTTAACCTCAGGGTATTAACTGGACCCCATAACCTCACAGGGTTTATTAACTGGACCCATAACCTCACAGGGTATTAACTGGACCCCATAACCTCACAGGGTATTAATTGACCCCATAACCTCACAGGGTATTAACTGGACCCCATAACCTCACAGGTATTAACTGAACCCATAACCTCACAGGGTATTAACTGGACCCTTAACCTCACAGGATTTACTGGACCCCCATAACCTCACAGGGTAATAATGACCCCATAACCTCACAGGGTATTAACTGGACCCCATAACCTCACAGGGTATTAACTGGACCCCATAACCTCACAGGGTGTTAACTGGACCCCATAACCTCACAGGGTATTTACTGGACCCCATAACCTCATAGGGTAATAACTGGACCCCATAACCTCACAGGGTAATAACTGGACCCCTAACTTAACCTAAACTAACCTCACAGGGTAATAACTGGACCCCTAACCTGAGTAATAACACGTGCATCATTAACCTTATAGGTCTTTTTATTAGCCTATTAATTTAACACGTAACATTAACTGTAATTACCCCCGTCAAAGTTAACTGTCTAATTATCCCCGTCATTAACTGTCTAATTATCCCCGTCCTACCTGTCTGTCTCCTTATACCGTCTACCTGTATCTCACCTTCAATTAACATAGAACACTAAAGTAACTGAATTACTTCATTTGTCATTAGGTAAACGAGTTGTTGATAGCGATATAATGTTAAGTGTGTCATAAAACAGTCAACTGACAGTCCACCAGTCAAAAAATTTAAGTTAGTCAATGCCTTTAACCTAACGTTAATTTAACCTACCCTAACATAACATTAACTTAACCTACTCCTAACAACATTAACCTATCCCTGACATTAACTTAACCTCTCTAAAGCCTTCGATACTGTCGGCCATACCATCCTCCTTTCAAAGCTTGAACATTACGGCGTTAGGGGCTTATCCCACAGTTGGTTTACCTCACACCTCTCCAACAGGATGCAGTATGTCTGCTGTAATAATCACCAATCTGACTCCTCGCCAATCTTGTATGGCGTCCCCTAAGGTTCAATTCTCGGTCCAGTACTGTTTTTGTTGTACATAAACGACATAGTCCACGCCAGCTCACTCATAAAATACAACTTATTTGCATACGATAGTAATCTCTATGCCAGCAACTCAGACCTCCATTCCTTGATGAGAACTATGAACACTGAATTAACTAAAGTCAGGACCTGGGTAATACGTAATAAACTAACTTTAAACCTTGAGAAAACCCACTACACGATCTTTCACATAAGGAAAACCTTACCCCCAGACTTGGACCCCCTGTACCTTGGTAATACAGTCCTCGGAGTTATTGTTGGTGAGAAACTTAACTGGAGAAACCACATACAAGTCATTGACAGTAAAGTCAATAAACAGTGCGGTATCATGTATCACACTCGACAGTCACTCACTCTCACAGCAATGAAAAATCTATCATCTTGTTTACCAACACCTTTATACACTGTCACACACTATGGGGGGCCTCTGGCTCTTCAAAAACACAATCCCTGGTTACTGCACAAAGGAGAGTTTTACGGACAATGGCCTACTTGAAAAAAACAGATCACACAAACGAAAAATTTGCAAAATTGAAAATGTTAAAATTCGAAGATATTAACACCTACTGCTGTGCCCTCTTTGTGAAGGCGTGGAACAACTTACCCGAGCAAAGACTACTGTACGCTCCGTCTCTTTAAATCATCTCTTAAAAAACATCTAATTTCTAAGTATTAATATTTCTTGTAACACCTACTATATTTACAGTACCTGCTTTTATTATACCATCAAAACCGTTTTAGCTGAAATTATCATGTAAATACATAAGAAATTAACATTGCAATAAACATATTTGCCAACTAGACGTAATCCTGACAGCTCTGTCCTCTTGTTCAACA